TTATTATTATTATTATTATTATTATTATTATTATTATTATTCATCTGTAACCGGTAGCTGCAGAAGAAACCAACAATTATAAAAAAATTATTGGTTGTTATATGAGGTATTTCTACCCTTAACAAAGTGAACCAGACTGCGACTGTCACTTTACAGACATTGGTCATTATTTGACAGCATCTGTCATTCCCGTTACACTGCCTGCAGGTTTGTTTGCTTTTCTTCTAATCATCTTCATAATTCTACATGTATATACAAGTCATAATTCCCAGCCAATGTCTCCACTATTTCCAATTTTTCACTGTTTCCACTTCCACCAACTTGTTTACTGTTTGTTAGTCTGCCTAGAAACAATTGTTTTCAGGGGCACTACAAATGTATCAGACCTGTGTAATTAATCTGCAATCATGGACAAAAGTCTTAGGACAAATTTCCACTTTTGGCACTTTTGCACACATGCTAGATGCAAATACAACCTCACCTGCATAGCCTCTCCCCACATACAATGTTGAAAACTGGTACCTGCAATTTCTCCTGAGTTTCAACATTGTATTGGGTGTGGAGGGCCGGGGAACAACAACAGGTTTTTCAAAGGATAGCAGTGCTTTTTTCAAATTTCAGTTGTAATACACGGATAATTCTTTGCATTACATCATTGTCCCAAAGACTTTTGTCCACATTTGTGCATGTATTTACACTCTTCACCTCTTCTCTTGTTTCACATACACACTATACTTTGCTGCATGTAATGGTGTAATACTTGAGAGAGCTACGATACAGCTGCTTTCAGTGCTGCAGAGAAGGTCAAAATTCTTCTTCTTTGAAGAAGGAATTTGGTTTTCAGTCAAAGTGATATTCTTGAGGTGATCTTATTCTTTCTCATAACATAGTGCTTCTCATAAGGCATACATAGTCGAGTGTAGATCGATACCCTCAATTGACCTGCTATCGACCCTCAATCTACATCTCAGTCGACTCTAGACCGACAAGTCCCTTGATTGACATCTTGATCAACACTTGATCAACAGTTGGTTGATAGTTGGCTGAGTGTTCACTGATTCACGCATCGATGAACACTCGATAGTGTGCAGAGCCCTATGTTGCGACTGCTGGGATCACCAATGTGACCAATTTTTTTTCACTGGCGATTAAATCTGAAAACTTAGGGGCTAGCTGGCCCCAAGGTTTTTTCCTGAGAGTTGAGCCCTGGTATGTCTGCAAAAATCAGTCCACTCTGGACTGACTGTCAACTGAGATGTTGATCGAGTGTTGACCGAGCAGTGATCGAGATTGTGATTGAGTGTTGATTGAAATGTTGATTGAGTGTCTATTGAGGGTAGCAATCGACACTTGACCATGCATGCCTGTAGTGAACGTGATCCAAAGAAGTTAAGAATCACTCAATGCTGAAAACGTACTGTACTCGGAACTTCATTGATAATCAATATGGCCATTCTTAGGTTCAGGGTGTGGACAATGAAAGGAAAGAAGAAACTTTATGAATTTCTCGCTGACATGGGGTAAGATGAAATACACTAAATTTTCTTTAAATTACTGCAACAGTATTTGGTGAATGGTTCATTAAAAATATTTAATATTTTATTGCTAATAATGATCTTCGTAGAATCCCTCTGGTGCAGAGTAAACAGAAATTCTACAGCATGGATTTTGACCTGAGGAACAACTTAAAAGGATGGGTTGAGACATCTGCTGAAAAATTTGGGTAAGTTGCCAACTTTATGAAAGAACTGATTGCTCAAGAGAAAAATTAAATGTTTATTATCACTGATAGCCAAACTTGTCACCTTACCTCGTCACTGCAGTTTAACTATTACCATAATTTAAGTGAAATGTAAAATGCAAACAGCAGGATACTTCATACTAGCACTTCATAGATGTCACTTTTTCCATCTGGAAAGGAAATAGCAGACTACCTGCCACTGCTAAATACCTAGGAATAGAATTTAACAATGGACATTTACGGAAATTGGATGGAGGTCTTCTATACTTACAGAGACCAAAGTGATACTCTTGGGAACACTTGTAATACAGTTGGACCTCGCTAATTTGAACTCAGTTACTTTGAATTCCCTGTTATTTCGAACTGAAAACCATTTCCCCTGGATTTACCATGCATGCTGCTATTTCAAACAATTTTTTGTTTCCCCTGAGAGTTTGAAATAGGGTTTCAACTGTAGTTAGAAATGAATTCAATGACTCCGTTGTCCCACCAAGTTATGTGACACTTACATGATCTAGGACATGTACAATAGTTCGAGGAAGCAACTTGTGAGAGCATAAAGTTGTATTGTTTTATCTAACAACACAACCCAACCCACAACTCCCGGATTATGCTAGAACCCATGGCCAGATCTGGAGTCCAGCACTGTAACCCTTTGGCCATCATGCCTTCTACTATATTTAATAGGCCATTTTCTTATTCTCGGTATTCGACTAGAACTACCTTGCTATAGAAGCTCATGTATGGGCAAAATTGATCATTAAAAAGACTTTAATGTCATTTGCAATTGAAAAGACCCCTCAGATTAGCCTCAGTTGCAACCTAACTCCAGCCCAGTACAGAGAATTCAAAAATAATTTATTGCATAAGCAGTATCAGTTAAAGCGGGTGAGTGTTTCTAGTTGAGATAGAAGCCTTTTTTGGTTTTTGACTAATTTTTTTGTACTTTTTAATAAGGCTGGATGAAATGTCCTATGGGTCATTCCATGTTCAATATGGATTCAAAAATAAGGTAATAGTAACTTTTCTTGCACTTTCAGACTCTTATCTTTTTTTGCTGATAATTGTGGTCTAAGTTTTAATACTGTTTGTCATACATATGTTTGATCATGTTTGGACAAACCACATCATCAGGTCTCTTTACTATTTTCATTGTAGTTTCTGGTAGTTTTTAGGAGAAAGGAGATATTTTTAGAAAATAAGAGCTATTTTACTAAAACTTTGCTGCTACTTTGTTTCAGTAGTGTGCACTTTACTCTAACCTTGGAGCACAATATGAGGTTATTGACATCTTTTTTTACAGCTTTGTGCAAGCGATGTTGTTTATGCAGTTAATGCTCTTTTGGAAGCTCCGGTAAGTTGTGATTGGTGAATAATCAATCAATCAATCAGTGTTTAACTAGGCCAATCACCAGATAGTCACCTAATTATTCAGTCTGTTTGGCAGTCATTCAATCTTAAAACAGTCCATATCCATCAGACACTCACTCAGCCACTCAGGTACTCAGTTACTCCATCACTCTGCCACTCGGCTACTTAGCCACTCAGTCACTCGGTCACTCGGTCACTCAGTCACTTGGTCAGTTGGTTGGTCAGTCGGTCAGTCGGTCATCAAATTATCCATGGATTCAAAAGCTGATTATCCTTTATTTTTACAGAATGAAGGAATGACAAAATGGGATAATTTTTTGGAGGCGTTAGATGCTTTGTCAAGGTAAGTGAAGAAAAACCTTGCACTAACAAAATTGGCCTAAAAATACACATCTTGGTCACAGCAATGGATTAGCTGAATGCATGGTTTTCCACTCTTTCCGATACTTACGTGTTTTGCTGCAAATTAATCTGGTTTTAAATATGTTTTCCCACACTTATCACCAGTTTCATGTTTTCTCTTGCTTGTAACTCGTTTACAAATTTTCATTTAGTGTTGTAATTGGCCTACCATACTAATAGTTGTATTAATAAACTCTAGTGATCTTCTATGATTAGTTGGGGACTTAGTTTTAAATGGTTAAAGACTTAGCTGTCCAGGGCTCCATTGAGGGCCGTAGTACCTGTTATGTCTGCACAGGGCTTGTAAAAATTTGAATTCTAGCTTGCCCTTCGGACAAGTAGCTCTCAAATTTTGCTTGCCCTGGGCAAGTCTTTGCTTACTTTTTTTAATTAGTTGGCAGACGACTTGCCTGGGCCCTTGCCCATTGGACAAGTGACAATGAAAAGTTACTTGCCAGGCAGGAAAATGTACTTGTCCCAGACGAACGGATGGCACTTTTTTCAGGCCCTGTTGGGACCCTTGATGTTATGGGTGAAATTGCCTGTTGTTGAGATGATTCGCCAAAAGAGCAACAATTTTGTTATGGGTGTGGAGATCAAGGCAACTGACCAGTGACTCAAACCTTTGTGAAAACCCTGGCTGCTCACTTTTTAGCAATCAAATCCGTAACATTTAGCAACAGATATCACTAAGAGTTATCTTGCTGTTGTTGTTCAGGTCCAATTCTGAGAAACTACAGGATGGTATCAAAATGGGCAAGAAACAGGTAATTTATTCTTGGCAAGTCTAGTAAAAGTGCTCCAGAATTTTCCTAGTGTTGCTTAATTGGCGGGCACTTGCAACAAAGGTTTCTCATCTTTAATATAGACCTTTTTAGCTTGGGCGGTTTGTTTTCCCATTACAGACCACGTGATATTCTCTAGAGAATTGTTCTTTTATCCATTAAAAATTATTTATTTACACACATGTATGCGACTATTTGAAAATATGAAAGCAAGAATTCCAGCTCAAGAGTATCAACATCACATGGTTTGAAATGGGGCAAGAAACCGCCCAAGCTAAAACGGTCTGTTGTTCAGTTAGGTTGCCTTGTTATGTTGTTTAGCAACTAATTTGCTGAAGAAAAATGTGTGCTCTCAAATTAAGGAGACGGGACTTTCTCGATTGCATTAATCAGATCCGGTTTTGGGACACTAGATGGTTGATTCCTCACGGCAGCCTTCCGTCAAAATTTACGTCGTTTACTCTCATAGACGACTGTGATTGAGTAGTTGGATTTTTGACTGGGTTCCTTTGTAGTGGAATTGTTCATAGCTAACAGAGGGAAATGGTCAAGAAATCTAGCAAAGTTCTTTGTTGTATGTTTTTGTTGGCTACTTTGGGGGTGACACTGCACAAAACCTGACAAAATATTTAAGGTGGTTTTTTGTGCTCATACAACTAACCAATAGAAGCATTGCGATTATGTAATTCATGCATGGGTCAAGGACCTTCCAGCATAAATCTTAGCCTGTTTGTTTGCTTCTGTGATGTTTACTAGGTTTCTTAACCATTTCCCTCTATTAACTATGAGCTGTTGAAGCAATCATTTTCCGACTTGTTCCTAACCATTTCATATCCTCAGTGTAGCTGGTTAGTTCGCTTGTCACCTTTTTCAGCTCAGACCATAACTATGCTCAGACCACATCGTCAAGCTATAACACGTTGGACTTTGTCTCTGTTTTCAGTTGATTGCTGTCGTCAATCAAGTTAGATCGTTGATTGACATGCACCAAGTGATGTGCGCTGGCCATTTTCTGTACTCGCATCTTAGAGAGGTATGGCTTGTTTCCGATACATCAAACAGGTATCAAAGCCGCCGGGTGGTCTCAAGTTCCACGCGCTAATTTTACGGACATCTCCCCGCCTTTACTACTTGTAGTGTCCAAGCCCCCAAGGCCTCATGATCTTTGGACTCGCAATTGCACTGTGCGGTAAAATGTATAGAGAATTGATAAAACGGCTCACGCAAGCTCAATTAAGTACATTTGCACTCGATTTAGTCCATTTAGTTTGAGACTGAACTCACGAAATATGTTCAGTTATGAAACGTGATGGATAAGGTTTGAATGGGTTCGATTTGAGAACGCTGACAAATACCTTATGGCTAATAGACTGTTCCCGATATATTAAAATTCAGCTTGGCAGTGAGGCCTAGAGGCACAAACAAAGGGAATTGAATGACATGTTTCTTCATTTATTTTGTTTGTGTCCTCTAGGCCTCACTATCAAGCTGAATTTAGTGACCCATTCCTTCTATGAGATGCGCCTGCAGGGAATCATGGTAGTTGTATTCATCATCTTGGACTGGATATTTGTTTTGATGAATACAACTACCATGATTCCCTGCAGGCGCATCTCATAGAGGCCATTGTGGAACGTGAAATTTCGCTTTTTTTTTGGACTGGCGAAAATTAGTGCCACGATATTTGTGAATACTTGTTTATCGCCTCCCTTGGGTTAATATGAAGCCTGTAGCCCAAGTAATATCTGTTTGAAAAATATTCTATCTTTCTGTCAGGGTATACCAGATCTGGACATGTTCAGCAAGCCAGCCGTCTTAGGAGCGTTAGCTCGCTTTGTTCTCAATGCCTACGTAACGATGGTATGTTAAGCAACCAAATCTAACCAATCAGAGCAAACGTTTTTCCTTTTCAACCAATCAGAAACAAACCGTGATCAGGCGTCCGCGCGTTTTCCCGCGCTTGGCGCCAGTTGCATAATATTTTCCCGCGCTTGGCGCCGGTTGCATCATATTTTCCCGCGCTTGGCACGGATTGCATGTTCTTGCTTCGAGTTTTGATTGGCTCTTTGCGTTATTTTGCGTTTGTCGTGATTGGTCAGATGTGATTTATTTCGGTTTGGTTTTCGTTTGGTTGTCATCATTAAACCGCTTTATAGTACCACACTCTGCCTATGCTCTTGAGATTCGATAGCGAGGATAAAGAAGAATTTTACACGACTTCCACTCTGCTAGAATATTAAAATGGCAGTTGTTAACATATATGTCAAATTATTTCGTATCCTAAGTAACTGAACACTCCTCATCGAGATTTTGTCCAAGAACTACTGACGCTGTCCCTGCTGTTCTGTAACCTGGTCTGTGTTCTTAGCTTAGATACTATGCCGTTGGTGAAATAAACGCACTATTTATCAAGATATTTTTCCTTTCCTCGACTCCCCTTTCCACACTCTAAGCAGTAGGATTTTGATGTTATTGTTGTTGATGCTGCTTTCATATTTCTGTCTCATCAAGTCCAAAAACAAGAAAGCAGCAGCTCTTCCTTTCGTCCTCGCAGCGCCACTAGATTCAGAAAAAGGTAAGGATGGCAGCATTTTAACAATACCATTTTTTACTCTAATCGCTTCGCTACTTTTCTTCCCTCCACAGAATGCAGAAGATAGCAACTCTAGGAAACGGGTCGCGTTTCTCTAATTTGCCTTATTTTTACTCTCAGTTATTTGCGTTTCCGGGGTTTAGATGAGCATGTTTACTTATTAGAGTTGTGTTTTCATTAGGTGGTTTAGTTTATAGGTTCGTATGAACGTCAATTAAGTGCGAAAATAGTTTTTTCCTCAACCCCTACCCAGGATTTCTCAATTGAGAACATGGGTACTGCTTGTTGTCGGGGAAAATTATTTTTGGTTTAATGATCTTATCTTTAGTCATCGTCAAGATTTTAAGCCCGGACCAAATGATGGCAACATGTCAACACAACATGTCGCAACATTGTTGGGCGCAACATGTTGCGCGCATCTGGCCACCCTTTTGCGACACCCAACATGTCGCAACAGGGTGGCCAAATGCGCGCAAAATATTGCGCCCAAACGATGTTGAGATATGTGGAGTTGAAATATGGCGATCGCTTGGCCGAGGCCTTACAGACATACATGGGAGTTTTCTAAGTTATAATCTGTTTGTTTCAGGGACTTGTCTCTTGGTTGGAGTGCCTCCTATTGCTGATGATTCCTGCAAAAAGTAAGAATCCTAGGCTAGCTCGTTTATACTCTAGTTATCGTGGTCGACGAAGTAAACAGTAGTAATTGAACTCTTGAGGGCGAGAAGCATACAGTAGTTATCCATTTTGAGCCTTACATCGAACACCCAATTCTAATAAGCCAAAAGTTGCCAAAGATCTCACAACAACAACAGCAGCGGCAGCAGCAGCAGCAACAACAACAACAACAATCTTTCTTTGTACTCTCCCTTGCCTTCTAACTAATTACATAAAATATAGATAATAAAATTAGAGTTGTGGTTGTCTGAAATAATCATAGGGGCTAGAGGAGCCAGGCAGACCGTTAACTCACTGTTAACTTTTAGTCACATTGCCCATTACATTTACGTTTATGGAAGTGTTGCATTTTTAAAGTTTTGATCTACTTTATTTCTATTTCTTTTGTAGTTTCTTGGGAAAAGCTTTTGAAATGGCCGCCAGCAAAACCAAGTCCAGAACAATTCACGACCACTTTGACCCAGCAGGTAGACCTTTTTGTCATGTGCCATATAAAGTTAGCTTGTAAAGAAACTTTTTGTTCGCGTCGGCGAGCAAAAGAAATACTAAGCTATTTAGCAACCTGAATTTTTACTACAATTGCAGAAATTCTCGCGCGCTCATTGGCTAATTTTTATGGTCAATAAGCGGACAGACACATGAATTTATAATTTATGCGATGCGCGCGTAAACGAGCGAGAGCGGACAATTTGAAAATTTGTTATCGTAAAAAACAAATTGATGTCAGTTTTTAATGCGCCTGTCCTGTTATTGACAATGAATTTCGTCATAACAGTGTCAAAGTAGTCTGCGTATCCATTCGGCTATCGCCTAGTGGATCCACAGCCACTTTGACAATGTTAGGACGAAATTCATGACTAATTACAGGACAGACGTATTATTAAGCGCCGTAGCGAGTTTGCGAAGGGTTGTCACCATACTAACTATGGCTACCACAGGTCGGGAAATGCTAAGGGGAAAAAATTCTTTAAGGTCAGGGAATTTTATTTTGAGTCAGGAAAAATTGTCAATTTTAAGAAAAGTCGGGGAAAATTGAAATAATTTAACACAGAAAGAAGGATGGAAGGAACATTTGCGGTCACCGTGATCTCAACGATATTGTTTGAAAATTCAGTGTTGAAAATTTATCAGTCTTAATGATCGAGTGTAAAGGAAGGCCGTAAGTCGAGGCCCGAAGCCGCTTCTAGATCTGACCTTTTGTATTTATCTGGTCAGGGAATTTTGAAAAGTGAAATCTGTGACAATCATGTTTGTATGTTAAGCGTTTGCCCTTCGTCAGGGCTAACGCTGGTGTTATACATCGTAAAAAGACTAACCTCTTTGGTGCGAAAATATACACTGATAGTTTGTCTACGGTCATTGCCTTTTTCGTGAAGCGAATAGTTTTGCATTAGCGAAACTCGAGGAAAACTTGGTGCTTCTAATAGAGGAAAGTTATGTCCAAAGGCAAAAACTGTAAACGTTTTAAAATGGACGAGTGATCAGGAAAAGACATGTTCAAAATTTAAGAAACGTTCTCTGGTTAGAATAGTTTAAAACTACTAAATTTTTAGCTACTTTAACCAGAGAACGTTTTTAAATTTTGAATATGTAAATGTTTTGTCGGTTAGCCAAAATCAGTTTCTTCAAGTTTCTATTCAAACTACTGTTTCTTTTTTTGCCATTTTGCAGTGATAGAAATGAAGAGTGAAGACCGTGGAAAGTTCTTCGATGCCCTCTCAGCTCTTCTCATCCCCAAATAAACTCAATTCAGTCTGCAATTCAGTTCAACTTCCTTCCTTCCCTTTATGCATTTTGAATGATCCGTCATATTTTGTAAGACGTTTGTATACCTATCCTTCGCCAAGGTTGATTCAGTTTGGCACAAGAACTTTTCCCAGCGATTTCCTAGGCGAACAGAAATTTGGAGCTAATTCGTTTCCCGGTGGGCTGGACTCAAAGAGTGGACAATTTCATGAAGTCAAGGCCTTAATTATAACTTGTACATACGCATTCAATTTGTTGCTTGTAAATAGCAGTAAACTAATGTAAGGCATCCTTATGGTGACGGAAAGGTAGATGCCCTGGAGAGTGTTACATCTGTGTACAAAACGGGAAGTCTTATGCTGATGGGAGACCTCAATTTATGGACTTCTAATTCTTATTGTTACTTATTTTCGCGAGACTCAATTTTCGCGATTTCGAAATAATCGCGAAATATAAGACCAGCGAAAAAAAAGTTTTACCGAAAATTAACGACGCGAAATTTAATACCCTATTATGTAATTCTTTATCAATCAACGACAACGTCAGTTTTCTACATAGTTATCTTGTCCCTGTTCTCTATTTAATTTTCGCCGTTATAACTCTCTTCATCTGAATCAATGTCATCTTCTTGCTGCAGTTCATGTAAGATATCCTTTGCGCAGTTGTCAAACAATCCTTTCCTATCTCCTTGTAACTCGTCAGGAAAAGCTGTTTATACTTAAATTCAGATAATAAAAAAAGGTCTATTTTGACAATTTTCGCAAAATTTAGATCCTTTTAACGCACGTTTTTGGCGAGGGCGCGAAATTTAAGTTCCGCAAAATATACTGGTATCATTTTCGCGAAATTAAGTTCCTGCGAAAATAAGTGACATTAAAGTACTCTGAATTGAATCGATCTCGAGCTCTTCCGGTCAACTGGGAACAGGCATAAAGCGACAAAGGGCAAAATGCCTCTCTGAGAATTCACTGACTGAGCTAATAGATTTTTATCTTCCTCATTTCATCATGTTGGCAACATTGTTGATCGGAAGCTTGTCGAGAATTTCCATTAGTACCAATTTCTCGACTGGAATGATGCTGGCAAACCCGGGT